GCAAATAATTGTTTCCCATTACATGTTGCCCTTTCATTTTGTTGATTCTTTCCTTTGCTGTGCAGAAACAAACTTTTTTTTTTTAATTTGATCTAGTCCCACTTGGTTTTGTTTGCTTTTATTGCCTGTACTCTTGGTGTTCTAGCCAAAAAACCATTGTTAAGACCAGTGTCAAGGAGATTTTCTCTATGTTTTTTTCCTAGGCTTTTAATGGTTTCAGGTCTTACATTTAGATATTTAACACATTTTGAGTTGATTTTTGTGTATCATGTAAGATAAAGGGCACATGTCATTCTTTCTCATGTAGATACTGTTTTTCAAACATAATTTATAAAAGAGTCTTTCCTTATTGTTGAATATCAGTTGACCATACATGCATGGGTTAATTTCTGGGCTATTTAATTCCATCTGGGCTGTGCATTTAATATGTTGAAACTCTAGAGCCCAGAAAAGATCTAGAGCATAGGAGAAAGTAAATAAATGTTTGATGAAGAAAAGAAATTCTATTTAAATGACGGATTCCCTAATACTACACACCCACTTCCTCACATACATACCTTACGGCAAGATACAATTTGTTTAATGAACACTCTCATGCCATTCTAGTGCTCATCTTGTTTCCAGCTTGCTTATAACTTGGACTCCTGTCTGAAATTCAGAAACCTTATCCTTTATTAATAACAATAATAAAAGACTTCTACACAATAATAGCTGTAGCCTTTTTGTGGAGGTGAAAGTTAATCTACCTTTGTTTCTCTGGTGAACTATGGTAGGTTCCTGAGAAGGGGAGCACTGTAATAATACAGTGTTTTAGGATTTTGTTGTTGTTGTTGTTGTTAAACATTAAAAGTGGGAGGGAGGTTTTACCATGCTGCCCAGGCTAATCTTGAACTCCTGGGCTCAAGGAGTCCACCCACTTTTCCCTCCCAAAGTACTAAGATTACAGGCATGAGCTGCCATGCCTAGCCAGGAATATTTACGTAGTTAATATGTAGAAAATAAATTGCCTTGAAGAGAGGGCAGCTATAAGGTGGCCAGGTGGCCCTTTCACCATGAGTTAAAAAGGACTAGGACCCCAGTGAGCATTTTGCCTACCTTTGCAATAGACATGGCAGATATTAGGTGCATATTAAGAATAGTGAATAATGGGGACCACTGGAAATAACACGTGAAGAATGTATGTAATGCTTTTTAAAACCAGACTTACAGTATCTTATCTATCACTGCCTCAACTCCTCATGTATGCTTTTCCTTTATTATGAAGTATTAGTAAAAACAAAAAAATTCTGCATTCTGAGAGTTGACCTAGTGTGGTGATCATTTTATGTGTTAACTTGACTGGACCACAAGGTGCCCAGGTTAAGCATCATTCTGGGCATTTCTATGAGGGTGTTTTGGGATAAGATTTACCTTTAAATTGGTAGAGCGGGTAAAGATTTCTCCTCCTAATGTGATGGGCCTCATTCATGTAGTTGACAGCCTGAATAGGACAAAGTGGCTGGCTTTCTCCAAGGGAGGCTTTCCCCCACCTTACTGACTTCAAACTGGAACACTGGTTTTTTTCCTGCCTTCTGATTTGAACTGAAAAATCAGCTTTTCCTGGGACTCAAAGTTACTGGCCTTTGGATGGGAACTAGACCACTAGCACTCCTGGGTCTCCAGCTGGCCAACTCACCCTGTAGACCTTGGGATCTGGCAGTCAAAATAATAATGTAAGGCATTCTTTAGATCAAAAGGCATTTATTATAAGCAATTGGTTTGTTGCTTCTGTTTTTCTGGAGAACCTTGATTAAAACCTATACTATACATTTCTAAAACCTAATAGCCAATTTCTCTCAGGTTCACAGGATATCGAAACAGAGAAAAATTCAGATGTTACCTGCAAGCATCTTCTTTCTACTAAATAAATTTTCCATGACATTAAAATTAATATCAGCCTTCACAATTATGTGTTCTTTCCTATCTCGTGCAGTCCCTATCTCAAAGTAATGGTACTTTTATCTAAAATTCATTTAGTAGTGATATATTTAATGATTACTTGGGTTTTCTTTACTTACATTAATTAGGCTTTAACAAACCAGAAAACCCATAAAATAATAAATAGCTTGAAATTAATATAGTGAAAATTCATTTAAAAATCTCTTGGTTTCTTAGGTTTCTTAATTTATTGCCACTCCTGAATAAATATGCTTAGATATTTTTATTTTCCTTTAGTGTGAATCACTTCAATTTAAAGATTAGATGTTTAAATATTTTGAGGCTCTCCAGTGTTTTCAGACCGTGAAAAATCTTAAACATTTTACATTTCTTAATGACGATGAGTTCAAATAACACATTCGTGACAACCTGCTAGTTTGATATACATACATGTTGACATATATATAAATATTAAACTAGCATTTTAACTAATTATATGTTTCATGTACATTCATATGTATATACTTGCTTAAGCCTGTGCACAAATATATGTACACACACACAGGCTTGTCCATGCATCGATCTATGGATATTCTCTCTGTAATAATTTCAGGCAAACAAAATATATAGAGGTGGAGATAAAATACATGTTTGACTAGTGACTGACATAGCTACTTTTCAGTATAAGGCAATCATAAAGACGACCTCATCCACAATGGTATTGATAATGATGATGATAAAACTTACATATGTAATGGGCTTAGTAAGTTTGTGCAGCAAGGAGATTGGCATGGTGGTCCATGGTATCCTGCAATGCTAGGAATATAGCATAAGAACAGCATGTCAGCTCTCCAGATAGTAATTATAGCAAAGTAAGCAGACTTCAACTTATAGTCTCAGGGCTACTGATGAGGGTTGGGAGAATATGGGAAACATATAATAAGAGGATTGTAGATATCTTGACTTCTCATTTGATGGTAGTGTAGGTAGACAGAAGAAGTCCAGTTCTTTCTGGGTCTGAGAAAGTGTTCATGAATTTGCAGGTAAGCACAGGGTCTGTTGTTTAGGGTTAATAGAGTGAACTGCTGATAGCCTTTGGTAAGAGCCAACATACCAAAGGTGCTTTGTTGGCCAGATGTGGTAGCTCAAGCCTATAATCTCAATGCACTGAGAGGCCAAGGCTGGAGGATTGCTTGCACCCAGGAGTTTAAGACCAGACTAGGCAACATAGCAAGACCCTACCTCAACAAAAAAATTTTAAAAATTAGCCAGGCATGGTGGAGCACACCTGTAGTCCTAGATACTTGAAAGATTGAGGCAGGAGGGTAGCTCAAGGCCAGGAGTTTGAGGCTGCAGTGAGGTGTGATCATGCCAGTGCTTGAATGTACTGTGCCCTGAAGTTTTGTTTATGGCTCTTATGTTAAAGTGTCTTGACCTGAAATCTCGTTTAGATGAGGATTTCCATGGAAAACTGACTGTTGTTTGCAGATTCTTAATTATACCCCTCTCCTTGGCATAGTCTTTTTGTCTGGTTTGCATCTCAGCTTTTACTTGTGCAACCAAAGATGCCCCAAAACAAACTCTTGATGCTTCAAACATACATTTATTCTATCCTATGTGTCTCTGTTTTAGTGAATTATAGCACATGTATCTTCTGATCTAGCTGAAACCCAGGGATTTAATTCCTCTTTTTCCTCATCCCTGCTGGTACTACTGACATAGTTCTACTCCTGTATTAATCTTCCTGCTTTAATTCCTTTCCTGCAAGACAACTAGTCTAATATTCTTAAAACTAGATCATGCCTGATTGAAACTCCTCAATGAATTCCCAATATACTTGGAAAAAAATCTGAACTTGCCTCACTGAGATGGCCCTGATAAAACACCCACAATGTCTCATTTTCCACATTCCCACCTCTTCATTCTTCCAGCAACAACCTTCTTCTTGAGCCTTGAACACATCAAGCCTTTTCCCAGCCTCAACCCTGTGCACTTGCCATTTTCTTAGTCTGGAATTCTCTTCCCCTTATTTGCCACATGATTCCTTTTCATTCCTCAGGTTTTTATCACTCAGCATTCTGTGACAGGTAACAGAAACCACTCCATTTTAATCAGAAAGGAACTTAACATGACAAGTTAGTGCTTACAGTTTTTTAGAAGGTCTTAGGACTAGCTCCTGGTGTGGAGCTATTCCCAACTCTAAGAACACCGCCATAGAACGGGCTCTCTACGTCTGCCCCATCAGGAAGCTGGGGAGTTAGGAGGCTGCTGTTCCAACCACTGGCTTCAGAGTTGTCCCACTGTAACCTTGAGTAGGGGATCAGGAAGTGGGGCAGAACTGTTAGCTTCAGGAACGCATCTTATGTGCTATCTGACAATAAGAATGCTGAACTGTGCCAGTGACGTAGATACCTTCTCTGCCACTGCATCATCCTACAGCTTAGTTCCGAATCAGTGCTTCGCATGAGTACATCTGGTTGTCTGTGTCTAAATCCAGATTCCTAGCTGTGGAGGAGGATATAAAACACAGCTTTTAGCTTTCCAGTTTCTGGAGTACAAGAAGGTATGCAACATGAGGTTGAAACAGATGATGATCTGTCAGAAGGCCTCCCCTCATTCCCCCTGTCCATCTCATAAAATCCTATTATATCACCCTCTTTATTTCCATAATAGTATTTATTATAATCTCTATCCTTTTAAATTTCTTTTTCATTTGTATACTATCTGAGTCTTCCACTGTTGGACTGTAAGCTCCATGAGGCGGTGGGCTTTCCTTGGTTATACACAACTTGGCATGTGCAAATGCTAGCTCAAATGTGTTGCTGAATTGAGTTGAACAAAAGAATAAATAGAGCCTACTCATTATTTCTCTGCCCCATATTCACTAAAGAACACTCATTGGTCTCTGATAAGATTCCCTTTCAGTTGGGGTGATCATATAACTCGTTGCCCAAATAGGGACACTTTGGAGAAATGGGAAGCATGAGTAATAATTAAACTAAGACAGAAGGCATGGAATGGGACTGTCTAAAGCAAACCAGGCATACAGTCATCAACTTATTGTAATCATTATTCTCTCACAGACTTCTCTTTTTAGGTTGTCTCAGAGGGATCTAGATGTCTCTACCCTGGCCATCTCTTTTTACTCTCTCATTTTCTAGTAGTTGGGTAAGGATTTGGGTTACATGGACTATGACAACAATTTCATACTTCTTGTGGGATTTCTAAAACTAAAAAGTTCTCACAGTATTTTACTATCTAGACTATTCTAGATCTTGTAACAATAAAAAATAAAAGCAGAGTTCTAATATGTCATTTTCTAATATCATTTTAAGTAGGTTACTCAGCAATCACTGGGAGAGTTTACTAGAAACAGATTTTTAAAAGCATCTTTCTTGGAGCTACTGATTTCTTCAGGGGATCTCAAAAATTCTTTCCTTATAAAACTACCAGTGACTATGGTGCATCGGTAGATTTAAAAATCATGAGATGAGAAGTATATGAGTCCCCTTCTGTATTTGGTACAGGAATTAATAAGTACCTTTAACATATAGAATCACTGGCATTAACTAAAGTAAAAGCTGGAAGTGGTTCTGCAATGGAAATTGACAGGCTACTGCGCTCCAGTATGCAGGATGTCTATGTGATGTGATGCATGTGTTTGCAATACAAGGCAGCCCACCCCCAGCCTTCTGGGCCTGCAGCTGAGATCAACTGTGACTAACCTGATTCCAAAACTGGCTGACTCATTTCATTGCTTCCTGTTTCTCTTAGTATACTTTGAAATGTTTTCAATGAAGAGCCTAGCACTCTGCCCAGTGTACTGTTAAGTGCTTGGTAATTATTGGTTATATATATATATACATTTATTAAAAGAAGGAAGGAAGGAAGAAAGGAAGGAATGGAATAGAAGAGGAGAGGGAGGGAAGGAAGGAGGGATTAAGTAATGAGGTAATGTGGTAAATATAGTAGAGAAACAAATTTACTGTTCTTTATTAGGATGTAATTTTAGGAATTTAGGATTTAGGAACATAAACACAAAGTATCTTGGGAACAAGACAAATTTATGTCCTCTGTTGTTTTAGATGACTTGTTAGAAACTGAAATTTTCTTGCACTGGTATTTATGCATCTGAGAGCTAAGGTAACTGCTTGTTTGACTGAAAGTAACTTGAAAGTATATGTAATTGACATTTTAATTTTGTTAAATGATATGACAGGTTGATGTGAGAATGGACCTGTTCAGGGTGAACTAAATTGGGACTGGATTTGAGAGGCCCTTTTATCACCATCATCAAATTATGTAATTTATTTCAAAATATCAAACTTAAAAATACAGATTATAATAACATTTATTTTAGAGTTGTGAGAATATGAGAATCTAGTGAGCTAATGAATGAGAATCATTGTTTTGAGAATAAAGTAAGCTAATGAATGAGAAAGTGCTAGGAAATATTTTAATGTGAGACATAAAAAAGATTATTTGCCCTTTTCACAGAAATAGATTTTGTTAAAAATTAATCATGAATAACTAGAATATGGAGGCATGCTGTATTCAAATATGTTGCAGTCTTCAGCTTTATTTTCATTACATTGAGCTATTGATTTCTTCATATATTTTAGGTCCAACATGGTTTCTTGAAGATTCTAGTATCTGAAAGAACTTTTTTAATGAAATAGATTTTTGTTGTTCATTCATTGTCTCAGATGTTGTGAAATTGCTGTTGTTCTATGCTATGCCAATCGTAGACATAATACAATCTGCACTTACTGATGTGAAATTGAATGGATAAACTTCATTCTTTAAGGTTGAATCGGTGATTAAAATAACCCTATGACTATCAGAACAGTGTTTGTGCCTTGGTTCTGGTTTTCTTCTATCTAATTGTAGCCCCAGTATCAGTTAACATCCTCCATCCCGCTGTGCAGTGATGCTTACTTACTCTGAACAGATGTTATAGTGACTGGAAAAAAATCAGTTTACCCATCAATAGACCTAGGTCTCATATCTCATAAAAATGTACTTTCCATCATTCTCTTTTGAGCCAATATTTATTATTGTCCCCAAAAATGTGTGCTGCAACTGGAGAGATGCAGCCAGCTTAGGCAAGCATGCCTCTAGCGGGCTTAGGGCATTTCTGGAGCACTCTGACTCTTTATCTGGAGCCTGGAAATGATTATTTGACACACACCAAAGGGAGAACTTCATCAGACACTGAAAAGTGTACCTTGGAGCCTGCAAAATACTTCCCATTGCTCCAGGGGTGGAAAAAGTAAAGATGCAGAAACATAAAAGTCAAAATCAAAATGTAATAGAAAAATGAAAGAGGAAATAGAAGAGGAAGGTGATAAAAATAAATGTATGAACTGCTTTTTTATTTAGCAGTCTTATCAAAATCACTGGGGATTTTTTTTGTCTGTTAGAGTCTCGAGTCCTTAGGCATCTCATGAAATATCATGAATGTTCAATGTGCTTTAAATTTTACATTTTTGAAAGCAAGGGAATTTTCTTACATGCGGCATCAGTCCAGCAGATACAAACTAGCACAACAGAACTCTCATAAGCTTATTTTTATCGAATTTACTTATCATAAAAGCAGTACAGTTACAATTGAGGGAAATAATGGAAAATGGCTTTGCTCTGAATTTGGATGGCTTTGTTGAATCTTTAAATCTAACCTCATTCCGTCTATCATTAGTCTTTTCCTTTCATGCCCTTTGATGGCAATCATGTTTTACAGATGAACCCATTAATTCACTGGGAGGTTAAGTGATTAGCTTTCCCTGGCAGTCAGGTGCAGGGTTAAGATTAGATAAAAGTCCCTCAGGGTCTAGTGATTGCTAAACTTTGAGGACAGTGACCCTTCTTATTATAAAACCAGACATTCAGAAATTATCTAACAGCTTCTTCCACCACATTCAAAAGAAATGTTATTTACCTTTACAGAGAAAGTGCCTACAATGGCTTTAAAAACCACGTTGCTAGAAAGACACACTTTCTTTTCAGCAGCTAATTTAATTTAGGGAGAATTTATTGAGATAAATATAAATATGAATGTATTTCAATATATGCAATGCCTATATGATTAATAATAAAGTAAGTATTTATTTGGCCTGTTAATATTCCAGGCACCCCAACAGGCTCTATTGGGGTTACGAAGGTATGCAACTCATAGAACCTGCCCACACTGAGTCATTCATTGTTTCATTATTTTATTCATTCATTTATCACAGTCAATAACTGTTTTTAAGTTAATGAAAGAATAGCTTGACTAGGAACGGTTTCATGGTCTAGATTTCATAAGATGGATAAAATGTTAATAGGCACAGAAGTCTGAGTCATTCCAGGTATGGGAAATAACATGACAATCTCCCTCCTAAATAAATCTCCATGGTAGAAAGTCATAGTAACATTTAGTGAGTAGCAGATGCAGTGATATGCCTAGAGCATTTTGTAACATGAGTGCACATGAAAAGTAATTTTAATGTAAGTTGAATATTTATAAAACATATTTAAAAGATAAGCATCATTTTTTTCTTCAATTTTGTGATTCATCTTGTTTTCTGTAAATGGTGGAAAATAGAACAATCGTGTTATATTCCAATCCTTCCTCTACAACCCTCTCAATAAAATTATAACAAAGAGCAAGCCACTACATAATTTCCCTTCCACTTACTGTAGAAGAAAAACAGCTCTTAAGATTAATTGTGAGAGTTTTACCAGAGTATTGCCTAATTAAAGATGACCAGAGAAGCAGCAGCCTCAGAGATTCCTTTAATTTGACAACCTGGATATGTAGCATGTTTAAGAATAGTTCTCAGGGGTAGTTCCACAATCTATTCCATTTATATAAACCTCTGGAACTTCAGACAACTGGAGCGTGCAAAGGAGTAACTTACTTCCATGAACAACAAACATTTATTGCATTTGCTTGCATTGTTTCTCACCATTTCAGTAAATATTTTATTTCTGAAATGGAATAACTGTTTTATGGAAAAATTGTTTGAAGATGATTTCTGTGAACTTGGGGTTCTATTGCAGTCTTGAATATCATTTCCACCTGAAGGTTGGGTAAAGGCATTTTTGAAGAGACATGAGCAACACTTAAGCACTCCTTCTATATTTTCAGTAAATAGTATTTTAAATGCTTCTTTGTTCTTCCCTTGTTAAATCTGCAGGTTAGAAACTGCTGATTAATGCCCCAAAGAGAAGGGATTGCAGGAAGATAAGTTTTACATATTAACTTCCCTAAATTTGGGGATGGGGAGAAGTGAAGAAAGATGTGAATAAATGTTATAAACATTTCAAAAGAATAAAAAAGACCCAGATAGGGAGATAGATGTGTTAATGTGTTGTTCGGGCAATGAAAGTGCTTTACTTTTCTTTCTTTTATTGTGTATATTTAAGGCATACAACATCATATTTTGATACATATATATTTAGCGAAATACATATGTATCAAACGTCAAGCACATTAGCATGTCCATCATGTCACATAACTACCTTTTTAATTTTTTTAGTTTTTGATCATAAGAGCACCTAAAATCTGCCATTTTAGCCAATTTCTAATATGTAATACAGTATATTAACTATAGTCCTCCTGCTCTACCTTAGATCTTGACTTATTTATTTCACAAGTAACTTAACAGTTGTTTATGTAACTGCAACTTTGTTGGAGTTGACATTCATTTCTCCATTTCCCACCCACTTCTTGTCCCTAATAACCACTGTTGTACTATCTGTTTCCATAGGTTTGACTTTTTTTTTTTTTTTTTTTTTTCAATTCCGCACATAAGTGAGAACATACAGTATTGGTCTTTCTGTGCCTGGCTTATTTCACTTAGTGTAATATCCTCCAGGTTTGTCCATTTTGTCACAAATTGCGGAATTTTTTTGAAAGATTCAACAATATTCTATTGTGTATATGTATGCATTTTCTGTATCCGTTTATCCCTTGAGGGACACAGGTTGCTTTTATATCTTGGCTATTGTGAATAGTGCTGCAACAAACACCAGAGTACAGAATTTCTACAAGGTGCTAATTTGACTTCCTTTTGGGTATATAACAAGCTAGGTCATATGGCACTTTCTAGGTGGAAGCCTCTCATAGTTTTGAAGGCCTGTATTCAGTAAACTGTCTATGGCAATCCCATCTGTGCCTCCTTTTTCTCAGCTTCTGTCTCTCTCTGTTTTGGCATCTATCTTCTCTGACTTCTTCCTTCCCACATCACTTCTCTATTGCCAGTTCCTTTTAGCCTCAGTAAATAAACATGTTCAAGTTTCTTATTTCATAAGAGAAAAGTTAAAATAAATAAAAACATCACCTTTAAACCTTCTGCCTCTATCTCAGTCATGGCTTCCTTAAAGAGAGGAGGCTTCTAAGTATCACCGTGGCATTGTCTCAGGATCAGTATTACATATTTTCCTTTCACTTCAGTGTGCCTTAGCATGGCAGTACGACTGATCCTACTATTATGTAACATTTGAATATTTTGTTCATCATTTTAACCTTCATTTTGATTTTTAAAAATTTTTCATTAAAGTAGTATTTATCCTGGTTACCCAAATGCCCATCAATGATAGACTGGATAAAGAAAAGGTGGCATATATACACCATGGAATACCATGCAGCCATAAAAAGGAATAAGATTATGTCCTCTGCAGGGACATGGATGGAGCTGGAAGCCATTATCCTCAGCAAACTAATACGGCACAGAAAACCAAAGACTGCATGTTCTCACTTGTAAGTGGGAGCTGAGCAACAAGAACACATGGATACAGGGAGGGGAACAACACACACTGGGGCCTGTCGGGGGCAGGCAGGGGAAGAGAGGGCATTAATATCAATAGCTAATACATGTGTGGCTTAATACCTAGGTGATGGGTTGATAGGTGTAACACACCACCATGGCACACATTTACCTACGTAACAGACCTTCACATCCTACACATGTATCCCAGAACTTAAATACATTTTTTAAAAGAGTTTTTGTTCTTAAATTTTGTATCCAGTTGAATCCATCACTTACCTGACCCTAGTCCTGGCCCTGTGTATCCATTTGTACATTTCGCAGGTAACTCAAGCTGTTTGTATCCTACCTTCAGTCAAGTCTTCTTTCACACTGTTGTTCCCTGTTTCTGTGAGTGTCATCACATTTTGCCTGACCAAAAGCTGGGGATATCCTAGACATGTCTTCAACCTTTTCTTTATCCCTGTCTCTCCAACCTGATAATCAATGTTTATATGTTGCCTCTTATGACTCTTTAATATCTTTATTCAAAACTCTGTCTCTACTTAAGACCCTTCTCATTTCTTTCCTGAATTGCCAAGAATTGTCCTGTAATTATTGTTTTATGCTAATGTTTTCCCCCCATCTTTCTGTTATTTACTTAATTGTGGCCAGAAAAATTTTTCTGAAATGAAAATCTGATCATACATCCTTAACTACTTAAAGTCTTTCAATACTTTTTTATTGGCTTAGCATAAAATCTGAAATCCTTAGCAAGCCATGTAAGAACCTTAATCATCTGGGCCTGCTAAGCCCTTCATTTTTATCTCTTGTCACTGACCAATTAAGACCTTTGCTGAAATACTTGCAGGGAGGCAAATAGGTTATTTCTCATAGCACTGGGCCTTCTAGTATACTATTTCTTCTGCCTGAAATTCTCTTCCTTTAAAACTCAATTTTGGGGACATTATCTAGGAATTCTTGATGCTTACAGTTTCAGCTAGGCATTCATTCCATCTACTTCCCATCTGTCATTCAGTACTTCTGTTTCATAGCTGGTACTGTTTCCTAGTCAGTCTGGTCTCCATGCTATGAATTATTTGGGAACAGAGACCGT